TGAAAATGTTTGGAAAGCTGAATGGGATCTGCCATGCGTCTCCAAGCCACCCATTGAGAGGATTTCTGCATCAGGCCAGGCAGGCACTGAATGAATGTAGGAGTAGGATGAGTCCTAGCTAGGACTGTTCTGACAGCACACTAACATTTTGTGTGTGGTGTGAGTGTGCCCGGGCTCACCCACGCTAACAGCATGCTGCTCGGAGTCATGTTACTGACAGCTGCATGTCATGGAAGTTTGAAATCCTCTGCTTTATCTTGTGGTCTCTTCTGCATGTCAGTCAGCAGCACAGAACATGGCAGTTTGTAGGGACTTCCCTGTGAAATGGACTTTTATTCCCTCGCTGGGGTAAGGCTCAATCCACAGAGACCTCTGAAAGTTAAAAGGGCTATTTCATGCCACTGGAAGATGTTTCTGACTTGGGATGGCAACTTCTCTGCTCTGCTCTCCATTTTAGGTGTCATTACTGGAACTGTTAGTGTTCCTTCCAGTGCTGGAAGTACGCTTTGTGCGCCAGGCATCTCTGACCAAGAGTCTTAGCCTGTAAAGGGCAAACACAGAGAGTGTCCTTGTGATGCTGAGGTTTCTTTAATGCTCAGTGGAGTGGTCATGCTGCACCTCCTATCTTGGCTTCCTGCTGGTTAATCTTTCCCTTCCTTTTCTAAATAGTTATTTTTGGCTGCTGTGATTGTCCTTACGGGGTTTTTCCTTGCACTGAGTCACTGTTCTGGGCTGTGCCAAGAGGAATTTTGGCATTGTGGAATAAATGTCATCACTCTTCCTGCTCACAGTTGTCACTAACGGCTTGAGTTTGTGCTGTTGCATCTTGGGGCTTGCTCTGACATTGCTCTTCTCTGCTGATACTATTACCTTTGTAATTTAGATTAAATCTTTAATCAAGAGGACAAAAGAGACTGCGAATGTGCATCCAATGTATCGTGACCTCTCTCCAAGGCGTAAACTAGGTCCTGCCATATTTCACAAGACTGAGTCCCAAGATCGCTTGATTGAAGAGCTACAGGACAGACTGGGCATCACTAAACAGGAACAGGAAGAATGGAAAAGCCAGGATGACTGGCTGACCGAGGGGGTCATTATCACTGCCAGACCCCAGGGGGAAGAGCAGAATGGTGGACAGCAAGTAGAGAAGGTAGAAAGCAGGGACATGTGCTGGGAAATTCCAGCATGTCCCTCTGTCCAGATAGCATTGTGTGGAGGTGCAGATGAAGTTTCTGAGTGTCCTAAGCAACGTGAAATTAAGAACTAACTCTTTCTGCTCGCCCTTGTCTGGCCTGAAAAGGGAACCAGCACATGGGTCTTAGTTCTTAAGAACTGAAGTGAGATCTGAGGGTGTGGGTGATGGTATCTGTTTGGGCAGTCTGCTGCTATCACATGTCAAGTGTCCACGTGGGGATTATTTTTAAAACCACACTGGGAAGTCTGTCATAGAGACATGCTTTGTTTTCCCCAGTACTGTGCCTATGCAGGAAGTTCTGGTGTAAGATGATGCTCTTCATTGAGTTACACAGAAGCACATTTTCTAGTTCCCTTCTCTTTCTTGCTGCTTTTTCCCCTTAGATAAACATACTGGTAACAACCAGCCTTCCTGTTACAGGAAGTGCTTGTTGGTTCCTCTTTGGATTTATTCACCCTTGTTCTTCCTCCATGTCTTTCTAGGTGGTTTTTCCTCCAGAATCCCCGCTCCCCCCAAGGAGGACGGTCTCTGTTCCAGCCTCTCCCCCGCTCCAGCCTTCCAAAGAAGCTGCAAAGACAGTCCCTGCTAATGCTGCTCCCTCTCACGTCTCTGGCCCTGCACCTCTCCTCCCACTCCCACCTCAGCCTTCCCATGTGCCATCTACCTCAGCTCCTAGTCCAGTCTCCTCCTCTTCCTTCAGCTTGGCTCCCCAGCCTCTCTTCCAGTGGGCAACTTCTGATGCTGATT